TATTATTAAAACTGAATAAATAAAAATTAAATTTTAGTAAGTAGAATATTTAATTATTACTAGACAGAATTCATATGAAAATACAAAATAAAATAAAAATATATGATACAAAAGATTTAATGTGAACATTTTCCTTGAGTGTTTTCACATAATAAATTCCACCTTGGAATCAATTTGACTAAGCGCGATCCGTAAATCATCTTCAGTTTCAAGTCTATTTCTTTAAGACGTTTTCAAATTTGCCATGCTATAATAGGACTCTAACGATAAGAATGTATATTAAATATTAATTCTATAAATAACACAGTTTATTCGTAAATTATTATCTCAATATCTTACTACGTAGAATCATTCCAGTATAATAAAAAATAATATAATCATCTTCAGTTTCAAGTCTATTTCTTTAAGACGTTTTCAAATTTGCCATGCTATAATAGGACTCTAACGATAAGAATGTATATTAAATATTAATTCTATAAATAACACAGTTTATTCGTAAATTATTATCTCAATATCTTACTACGTAGAATCATTCCAGTGTAATATAAAACATTATACTTGATATCCATTATGATTATATTATTTTTTATTATTTTTTTTTACCTTACATAATTTTATACATATAATTTTTATTTTWAAAATAAGAYTTATTGAGACCCAATTTTAAAGATTACGCGACCCAAAAATGGGTAGCGACCTACCGGTTGAATACTACTGCAGTATATAGTACTTATCAGTAGTTTAGTCCGTACGAACGTCGTCACGTGTTTATGGGGAATATTTTTTTTGTGAATTTTGAATTTATTTATAAGTACTGCTTATTCGTAAGTTTATATTACATAGCCTACTAAATGGCGGGTAATTGTTTTATTTTAAAACCTCGCTATCGGTCGGYGAAACTGTAAATGTCGAGCGTGGATTAAAAACGTTGAAAAACACTTGCAATGCAAGAGACGATGGATATTTTGAGTTTTTGAATAATTTAAAATCGGTGACTGTTCATGTTRAGTGTCGTAAACAATATACACACAAGAGAAACATTGCCATATTATCRAAAAGAGAACGCACTCCGTACCAAAACAATTTTTTTTTTCTAAAACCAGGTAAAGGAAAACTTGACACAAAAATATACCCATCTAATATTAGTCATCACTACCATTTTGGTAAAGAACATATTATTTTATTTTTGTACGCTGTTACAGGATGTGATACGACAGCTACATTTTTTAATAAAGGAAAGGTAAACGTTATAAAATTATTAAAAAATCGTCCACACCTTCAAAGTACAGCAGCAATGTCCACAAAAGAAAATTGCTCCATTCAAGACATTTTCTAACATGGAATTCAATTTATTTTGACAATGTATATTGCCCAAAACAAGTGTTTTCCATCGATAATTACAGATGCATAACTTTTGYTAAACTGACCAGAAAAAATAAACATCATTATCATCATTATCATTTCTATACCACCAACAAATAGCGCCACCCAACAGTATCTGATTCGAGTTTATTATCAAGTACAAATTTGGATGGGCACAATAGGTTYCAAACCCGGAATATTGGGGGTGGGCGATGAATAACAATGTTTTGGAGCCTATAACGACATTTTTACCACCCACACCAAATGAATTGGTTAATATGAGTTTTGTAACTGTAAAAAAGGCCGTGGTACTAACTGCAGTTACAAAAAAATTGGTATCAAATGTTCGATTATTTGTGGACATTGTCGCGGTCAGTCATGCTTTAATTCAAGTTTTGACAATGCTTTAGATAACGAWATAGACCCACTTGACTTTTTGTCAGCGGATATATCTGGAGAAGACARTCCATAAAATGTAGACAAAAATGAAGAAAATGAAAAAGATGAAGAAGAAGAAGAAATGCAWGAAAACGAGTGCGAGGTTGATGATTAATAACAATTAAAATGTAATATTAATTAATTTTTTTTGACTATTAGATAACTTTTCTATGATACAATTGTTGATTACATGGATTAGGCCTACTGGGGAACATAAAAAAACTCGCCGAGCTTCTACCTCAATGGTGGTGTGGAAACGAATGCATTCTTATCATCGTGTATATTATATTATACACATATATTAATATATAATATTATCGTAATTTTGTATGGTTAACGTTGAAATTCGTATACCGAAAGAGCGATTGGATATATATATGTATAACCATATTGTAGATAATTTTATCCTTTATAATTTTTGTTTGAAAGTTTTTTTCGTAAAACCAATATAAACGTAACGAGATATTAACGCAAAGGCTAGTTGTCTTTAGCAAATCATTCATATTTCATTAAAAGTGTACATTTTGATGGTCTTATAATGCAAAAACTATTACTTTTATGTGAAAATGTTATGAGATCTTTTTTGTAGATAATTAGTTTTTCTACAGTTTATAACCTGAACTTTTTATTGCACGACTCATAAAAAGCGAGATATTCAAAAAAGGCTAATTTCGTGACCTTTGACCTTGAATAACCTTTAATGTGTATATGATATAGATGGTGACTTTTTACACGTTGTTTAAAACGATGTCATAAAAGTGTGTACCAAAATTCAGCTAGGTGGAAAATTTTCCGAGCTGAAAACCTAATTCGACTGGACTATATTAATTAGTTTTGCCATCGACACCATTAAAATATGTTTGAAATATGTTACCAACATATAAAGGTAGTGAATGTACTATTGTGTAGTCGAAATTGATTATTGAARGAATACGCAGAACGATTAATAGGTTCATACAATACTGTTTTTTTTTCACGTAAAAAACCATTAAAAATATTATTAGGTCACAGTAATGGTAAATACATTTTTGCCATTGTTTGTAATTGGTTGTTTCGCGTAGTTCACCAACCACTGAGATGGGCATTTTGTTTGAAGATTTTTAAGTATATTTTTGAAAATACTGTACCACAAGATTCCAAAAATGGTACACAGTGTCATTTCTATGTAATATCCGTTTATTGTTACGACACAGTCACCTCCGTTTGTTATGCAAGTCTAAAACAATATTCATAGAAATTAATATAATTTTTATGTTTTGATGTGATTAATATCCAAGTTGTTATAATATCTTCAATATTAATTGATGGACAATTTCARAATAACTTACGTTTTGGAGATCTAGTGTAGAACAATTATTCTTGGAATCAAATGAACATTCTTTGAACGTTAACAAATCTACGATTTCAAGTGCCGTGAAAGTTGACCATGCACTTCCCAAATTTGATAGGGTATTTAATAATGTCATGTAAGTACCACCAAAACGAGGGTCACTTATCTTAGAGTAAAAAGCTAATAAAGCCACAAACACACTATAATTTAAGATCTAAAAAAAAAAAAAAAACAATAGCATTTGTGAATTTAAATAATTATACGCAATTGTTAAAAGTTGATCATTTTTTGTGTTAATTGCAAAATATATATTATTTAATTTTAATCGCAACCATAAGTGAAAGAAAAATAACATCATAGAAGTCCATATTATATAATTTTTTACTTAAAATTTTTAGCTTCTTTTTTATTTGTCGTTGGAAATTATTTAAAAAATTTTTTTCAGGAACATTACAGTGTAAGACTATTTTATGAAAAACAAATAAATWAATTAATTCGATTCTATACTAAACTAACTAGGTATTCAACCAATTAAAAATGAATTTACTACATAACCCAGAAAACGGAACCAGCAATACATTTTTTTTCAGTAAAATTTAAATAGGGCTTTTGGCACTAGGTGAATTTTTCTTTCACTTTTTAGTACTTTTAAAGTCATCTCGAATTTTAAACTTTTTTCATAGTACAATATAATGACGTGTTATACACACTTATGATAATTTATTACACACTTAGCACTTTCGCATGAAAATATAAGCTATGTATTGATATAGACTAGGTACCCTTAAATTAGGATTACCTTCAATGCGATAAATTCAAATTACATTTTAAATCAAACTTTAATGTATTATAATGCATACGTAAGAACTATAAAGTAACTTACTTCCTGTATTGATAATATAATTACTAATATCACGTAGTAATACATTGGAATATTTACTGTCCCATTCTTTTTTATCAATGCTGCAGGTGTATAATAAATTAGTATAATAAATGCAATGTTCCAAAATAATCTGAAATAGATTTACATTTTTAAGTATATGTGACATGTAAGTAAACTGAGTCTACACTCTACAGAGTTTAGGTCAACTAAAAATAAATGTTTAAGTGTATTCTTTTAGGAAAAATATAAACATATTTTAAAAACTGAAGCACATTGAAAATAATCTACTAATATAATGCAAATTGACATCTCGTCGATTAGTTACTYATAGAAATATCTATATTCTATATGTTAAATAATATAATACTATAAATATAATAAACTACAATTTGAAATCTATTATTTGTCCCTATTTTTCAGTAATACAATTATTTTAAGAATRAAAATAATTTAAACTTTTAAACATTGTGAATATACAAAAAAATTAATTACGTAGGAGACGGTTGAAATTTTATGCGTACATTTATTATGGTATCATAATAATAATACATTATATTATAATTGAAAAAATTGTATTTACTTAATCAGAATAACTTTTATGTATAAATTCATTGGTGTTGGACCTGAAGTATATTTTCCAATAACGAGAGGCAAAATAATTTTTCCTACACATATTGATGTATGTATTATCATCATGTCATCTTTTGATACACCAGCGTCAATCAGTTTTAATGGCGACACATGGTCGGTTGCAGCAAATCCAACCTTTTATACGAACAAAAATATATGGGCTAAAATGTATATTAATTTACGTTATTAATATATTTAAAAWACATGATTGATTATAAAGCAATATTTATAACTTAATTCCAAATTCACGAATACAATACTAGGTATTCAATAATATTGTGGAATAAGAAAGTAGTATTATATCATTAATTGAAATAACGGAAACCTATAAGCTAAAAAATAAATTACCTATGTCATTTTTGAAGAAATGTAATACTATTAGATTTACGGGGTGATTCACCAATTATGCTTTAACTTCCTTTTCTRCCTTAAAATTGTAGTGATAAGTTTAAACTATAAATCTATCAAATAATTTGTAAAAATGATCCAATATTAAATCATCTATTTAATATTTAAATATTTTTTAAAACTATTTTCTCGAGGAA